GAGGCTCCGCCGCCCCGCAGCTCCCGGAGCGCCCGGGGGGGCCCGCCCGCCCGCTCTCCAGGAAGCTCCCGGCCGCAGGTAGGGCTTCTCCCTCCCTCTCCAGGCCCCTCCGCCGGGGTGGTACACGGAGCACCTCTGTCCGCGCGCGATCGCCTGAGAAGGCAGAGGCGGCCACGGAGTGGAAGGGAGACCTCGGTCACTCCCCTCTGCCGAAATTGGCCAAAGACCGCTCACTTTTGACTTTGCATAGCGACTGCTTTCAATCAGAGGGCGATTGGGGCCCAGCGCAGAGGGGTCCTCGAAGAGCGTTTGGATACTCTTCGCGTGCACTCGAACGCAATCCTCCCGGGTGCGCTCAGTCTCCAGCCCTTGTTTGCGCTCCGAGGCGGGGGCCGGGGTGGCGACCGAGGCCCTGTGAAATCAACCTGACCGACTGACCTGGCACAGGCCGCGAGCGGACCCGGGAACAGGGACGTAGACGAAGGGCTGTCGGCCGCAGGCGACCCGGTGGCGCGGGGGGGTCGGGGGGCTGGACGCGGCGAACACCGGGCCTCACGCTCCTCCGGCCAGCCTGGCCTCCAGACTGGTCGGGGGAGCCAAGGCCGCCGCACCAAGCTACTGCCCTCTCCCCGACCCAGGACACCGCACGGTTCGGCCTGGGCCTGAGGGTTGAGACCGCGGCATGGCTGGGAGGCGAACTGCCACCAGGCCGGAGAAAGAGGGCCTCTGGGTCGGCTCGGAGGACCAGGTGGGCAGAAGCCTGGGGCGGCCCGGCCCGCGGCAGCGCAGAGTTGGGCGAGCACCTTGGGATCGTTTCCCGTGCTTTTAGAAAAGAAGGGCACCCTAGGGCAGGTTTCGGCGTTTAGAGAAGGAAAAGTTTCAGCGAGGTGGCTGGGTGATCGCCCACCGATTTCATCTGCTTTTCTCGTCGCTGTCTAGGGCAGGAGTTCGCGGGTGACAGGTTTTTTGCGCGACAGGCCGCCGGCGACGGCGCGAGCAGAGTGAAAAGAGAAGGAATCGTCTATGAAGGGTCTCTGCGAGCTTAGGCGCTTTTAATTCTCCCACTCTTAAAAGCAGATGGAAAAGGGGCTGTTGGAGAAATCGTGAAAGCAGAAAGTATCCGTTTGGGGCCTGCTAACTCGGGGTGAACTGGGGTGAGCGATCAGGAGAAGGAAACGGAGGCTCAGGCCTGGCTTGCATCGGTCTGGGAACCCGCTGGGCTCCCTCTGCTGCAGGCCAGGCCTCGGCTGATAACTGCAGCAAGCTGGAAACTTCGCCAGGGGAGTTTCTTGTCCCTCCCAAAAGGTGTAGAGGGGTATTTCCCCCACCTTCCATTGTCCCAGTAATCCACCTTGGAGGTAATGTATCAGCCATTTGAAAAGGCAGGGAGTGCACTAAATGCAAGTGTTAGGTCTGTAACATTTTCAGCGTTTACATTTTTAAAACTTGCAAGTTAGCACCTGTATGTATCCCGGGAGTTGAATTACTAAATTCTAAATTTTCTTTCTTTCCTGCTGTTATGGGAGAAAAGAAAATTTACAACGTTATCTTTTTAAGCGGCAAGAGTTAAATATTGTAAAAGATACAATGAAATAAGTCAACCACTTGGTTTTAAAATTAAATACTGGATATTTTATTATATTAAGGTAGGCCTACATATTTATTTATTTATTTATTGAAACCCAAAGATTAGTAGGAGCTAATTTATTTTTTGCCTGTATTTTCAAAGGGAAAAGTTGGTGACCCCAGGTCAAATTTTTTTGTATCTGTTCTCTAACCAAGCTTGCTGGAAGGAAATGCCCACTGAACCAAGAGTTTCTTGTATATTTTGAAAGCAAATAAATAGTTACCATGAGACTATACTACAATAGCATTAATTCCATTATTATTACTAGAGCTATTGCAAAATGCAAAAAAGTACTACACGTACATATGATTTCGTTTCCAGAACTTTTACTGTGGTAGGGGTGATTGTTGATTGTGGTACATACCAGGTCTCGGGTGTTTTCTTATGATACATTAGAAATCTGTAATGACAGCCAACTGTTACATGAACTTTCTTTGTGCCCGTTACCACCATCACGTAAGGCCTTGTTGTGAATGCATTCATGTATTTATAATCTTTACTCATAGTTCTTGTAATGACTATGACACAGGTGCCTTTAATATTTGCACTGTGCAGGTGAGGAAAATGAGCACAGGTTAAATGGTTGGTCTAGAGGTATTTATTCTGTGAGTGGCAGAGCCTGGATTTAGTACATGGCTCAGTTATTGTCCTTGCAATGTTCCTGTGACAACAAAAAAGAAAACACTGTCAGGAGCAGCTGCCTCTTCAGGAAGGGAAAAGGTGTGGGGAAGTGGACAGCTTCAAACTCTGGAGCCCTCTGGATACCACCCCCACCCTCTGATTGTACTTTGATCTTAGTCAAGTTTCAAAACTTTCCAAGGCTTCAGTTCCCTCTTTTGTAAAACGAGGAAAGACAACTTTACTCAGTGGGTTTGTAAAGAAAAGGACCTGAGGCACCAGCAGGTATGTTACAAACTAGAGCTCTTCTTTTTCAGAAAAATTCCCTGGGTGTACCAAAACACGGGCTGCTGGGCCGCACACAGGCAAGTGCTAGGAACTGTCCACGAAGTCAACCAGCATGCTGGTTTTGCGTGGGGTGGACCTGCAGCCCCACAGGGAAAAACCTGCCAGTGAATTAGAATGTCTGGGGAGTTCTGTCGAGTGAGGTTGTCCATTCCGCCTTGTTCCTGGTCGGCATATGCAATCTGTAAAATGTCTAAAATATAACAATTCAGGAGAAACATGTAGCTCGTCTCATCTGACACCCACAGGTTACAGGCTATGGAGAATGTGTCTCCCAGTCCTTTTTAGGAGATTGAACAGACACTGTTGCTCATTCCTAAACATTTGGACTCTACCTCAGCTTTTAAAAAATAGGTTACAAACAAAACTTTCGGAGGTAGCTAGTTCTGACAAAGTTTGTCGTCGCCCCCACCCCCACCCACAGTTCTTTCCTGGCCAGGCACGCTTGGGGAAAACTGGGTGAAGAAGAAAAGGCGAGGGAGATTTCTTGGGTCCCAGGCATTCGCTGGAAACCGAAACCCTTGGATTTAGAAAATACTGTAGCAAAAATATGCTTGAAGAATACGGTAAAATTAGTCCTTCCCGGTAAGCACTGGAAAAATAGCTGACCTAGATAGATCACAAGCAATAAGTTCAGGCCCCAGTGCCCGGACCCCAAGTCCCCAGAGCGCCCTCCCCGGGGCAGCCTGACCTCACAGCCGGCGCAAAACAAAGGCCGCGGCTTCCCGAGCAAAGGCGAGGCCTCGAGGCTGGGCCCGAAAGCGGCGATTTCGTTTGCAGTTCGGCAGAAGCAGCAGAAGCAGCAGAAGCTCCCGGCCTGGGGAACGTGGGCCCGGAAAGCTCTGGGATAACCTCTCTCCTTTCTGTCGTTCTTCCCGTAGGAGCGCGGCTGCAGCGAGCGGAAGGAGCCGCCCGGCCCTCGGCCGTGGAGCCAGACCCCCAGGCTTTGCCCGCGCCGCGCTGACCTGGACGCGGCCCGCAGGCCCGTGCACTCGGCCACCTCTCCCCTGCCGCGCCCGTCCACGCCGCCGACCTCCGGGCCGGGCGGAGTCGCCCTCCCGCGCCGCCGGCCGGAACCAGCGGACTCTGCGGGGCTCTCCCGCGTACAGCACAGCCCGGCCTCCGGCCCGCCGCTGGATTGAGGACGCTTGCGTTTCCGAGCGCTGCGGTTTTCCCGCGCGGACTGTGGTCTCCGTGTCCGTGGCAGCCCTCGCCG